AGTGTAGGAAACTTGTAAGTTTGAAGTTGATAGTTTTTTATTGATTTATTTCTAGTGTATTAAAAATGTGCTGTTATATTAAATAATATTACAAAATGGAAATTGTAGTAATACACATGTAATATTATAGCACAATGAAAATATTTTGAATTGTATCATTCTTTACTGGCCCAAAATGGGTCAGTATTAGACTAGTAAATTACTACACAAAGAATTATTTTTTTCAAAATACATGTCCAGGGAGGAAAAACTTATTTAGAAAAAAGTTTTGAATAACTGTTCTTCATCAAGTTTAATATGGGAATGAATGACAGTTGTAAGTTTCAAAAGCAGTGAGTTCTTGTGTAAGTGTATGACTGTTCATAAACAATATATGCTTAACAATAGAGAGAAGTATTAAAATAAAACAATGTGATACAAGTTGAACAATATAGTAGATATACAGGAAGAATTTTTTTTATAATCGTATGTAACAATTTAGCAGTAGATTCCATTCAAAGAGGCAAAAGTGTAACATACATATACAGCTATTACAAATGAAGGTATAACAGGGTAATGAATTATTTTAAAGAATGTTTCATTCAAATTGGGGGAAATTTTGTACTTAAATTTAATATAAATGCTGTTCTAAGATTTCATGTTGTAATCTATCTTGTGGAGCATGTATTAAAGCTAAGGCTCGTGTCTTCAGTTTAAGTGACTTGGGAAAATAGTCTTTGTTACCTTTATGACAAGACATAGGTGCTTGTGACACCCATCCCTTGATTGTCGTGATGTCTCTCCAATATATATGTAAAAACCCACAACTATTGCAGTGGATACAATAGATGGTGCACTGTGATGTACAAGTGAAGTGACACACAATTTGGTACATGTAATTTTGTGGGATAAGGTTGTTGCATCGTCAGTATACTTGCTGTGCTAACATGATGTTGTAACTTGGAGTGAATCAGTCATTTAAATTCCTGTCACATTCGAAAGGTATAAGAGGAAGGTTTATAAAAATATTTGACCATTATATAGTGATGTGATTTAATCTCATACATGATCTAACATCTTGCACATGTTACTACTAAATGTTTTAGACTATAAATCATGCCCAACTATAACAATTTGTATCTTGGTATATTTTTCTATAATATTAAGTTTGAAATCTGTACGATCAAGATGGGACTTTGTGTCTTTTTTTTATCTGTTTGTATTGCTAAGTTTGAAATCTGCATGATACAGACAGGACTTTGTATTTTTCTTATATCTGTTTATAATAGTAAACCATTAATTAATTAATGACATACAAGTAAAAGGTAAACAATCTTATCAACATTATATAGTATATACTGATAAACAGTATTAGAAATAATTAGGGAAACAGCTAGTATGTAACGTAAATATTATGAGATTGCTCTCCCACTATTGTTTGTAATTTAGTGAACTGCACCAAAATACAGTCACATGTTGACAGTTTACATACGCTGTGATTGGCTATCAACTGATCACACAGCATAACACCATGAAAGTACTATTCTTAGCAGCAGCTTGATGATGGTAGTCATGGCTCTCAGGACAGAAATGCCACTTGACAGACCTGTAGAAATCAGTTTTGTTTGGTTAAGTCTATTCCATATTAGAAATTGAAGCAACATTTTTTATTTCAGTAGGAGCTGTTTGAAAACTGTAAAGACAATATGTGAAACTAGTACTGTTAATAATAGAAGCAGTAAAACTGGAAAGCCCAAACTCTTAAAAAGTGATGTTAAGTAACTTAAGGCATGTTCTTTATGTAAGACAAAACAATCCAATAGAGATCTTATCAATGACTAGTTCCAAATACAGGTGTGAACATTACCTTCAGAGTAGTAACTATACATATTAGCACAAGTGACCTCAATAGATATACAAGTGCTTAATTAAAAACCACCACTTACTAAAGATAACCAAATAATTGAAATGGGCATCAGACTTCAAACAGTGGGATGAGAAAAACTGGAAGAGTATATTCTTAATAGATAAATTCGAATTTGTTTGTTTCAGTCAGTGACATTTTATTTTAATGGCAGAGATTTTACAGTCATCATACAACACCTACAGTGAAGCATGCTAGGGCACCAGTACAAGTTTGGGATACATTTCAGCCAGTGGTCTGTGTTTAAGATGCACACACAATTGATGGCACCTTAACTGCTGATAAGTACAATCAGATTGTTATCCATCATTCTCTGAGAAACATCACCTGCAGGGCAGAGAATCATTTTCTGGCAAAATAGAGTGACCTTCAATATGCAGCAAATGTGATGAAACAATACCTGGAAGAAAAAGGACCAAAGGAACGTGTGCAACCATGGCTTGGCTTGTAAAATGTCCTTATATGAATATTGTTATTAAGGCTGTATGGACTTGTATGGAAACTAAGTAGGTCAAATGGCAACCACACACCTTGGCTGAATTATGAGGAGTAATACAGGACTTTTAGAACAATACTTTTAGAATAACACGTTGATAATCTTATGATAGTTTGAAGAAAGCAACCTGCACTCCTCTAGTTAAAACAAATACAAAATATTATTGCACTGTACAACTTTTTAACTTTGTTATTTTGTATTTTCCATAATAACGTATTGTACTAATGATTCATTGACTATTTAGTTGCAGTTATACATTGTTTGTAACTCCTTTGTGTGTATCACTCGTGTGTTTCTATAATTAGCTTCAATACTGTAAAGTTATATTTGGTACACTAGGATCAAGTTTATTGATGCCAATTTCTAATAAATCCAGGAATGAGTATTGAGATAGTAGGCTTTATTAAAGTTTGGTCAAAAGATGTAAACGTCAACAGTTTGTTGCTTAGACAAGATCTCAAACTCGTGATTTCCTTTTTTTTTTCGTAGTATAAATCTGGCGTGTACATTCGTAAAGGATAAAATGCATTTTTAGTTATATTTACTGAACTTACTTTATATTTATTTCAAATTAAAATCGTCATGCCCAAGTATTGCTAAAACATTTCATTATTTGATGTTTCTTATCATATTAACAAATGTGTAAGAAATGCAAAAATTACTTTGATAGGATTCTCTATCTAAGAAACTAGCAGCTTATATAGATAGTAATTTTCCGATCAATGATTAAAACTCTTGGGCTTGAGAATCACATTATTTTCCAAATTAATTTGTAGATGTTTCTTATTTTAATATTTCAAAATTCAAGATACCGAAAAATAATTTATAAAATACTTTTCTTCATCTATAGGTGTGTTTGTGTGTGTGTGTTGTTTTTTTTTCGACCCTTTATTCCTGGCATAGCTTGGTGGTTCGGAAGCTCGACACGCTATCTTTGGGTTCGAGTCCCATCATCAAACATGCCCTTTCAACCTTGAGGGGGGCGTTCGTTTAGAGTAGTCCAAGAGTTGGTGGTGAGTGGTGTTGTCTAGCTTTTTTCCCCTCTAGTCGATCACTAGGACAGGCTAACACAGATAATCCTCGAGTAGTTTTGCACGAAATTCAACAAGCAAGAAAATGGACGATCCTCTGATTGTATCTTTGGGTAAAATGTGATCTGGCTGGAATTTCTCCAAAGAAAGCTGCTGAAAATAAATTCTGTTCGCAAAATGTATACTGGAAATTAATAAATGTTTCGTTCAACAAATTGTACGATACCTTTTAACTATTATGTGCAAAATTAAAAGTCGTTCTAATAGTCAAATTTATTAGTCTTTTAATATCATCCATTAACAATGGAAAAGAAACTAATATAACTTATTGATTTTTTTTTCCCAATATCTGAAAGCAAGACAGCCATCTGTAGTTGTAGGAAGCATGTGAAACACGTTTTATATGCATAGTACCAAAGTTATACAATTCCACATCAAGTTACATTAAGCAAATGTCTGTATGATAACCCAACAACTTTTTATGTTACTAGACTCCGCTGGCTGTACTGTACGTAACTAACTGAAAAAAGCTTTGTACAAAAAGAACATTTGTTCAAAACAGTAAAATACTTTAAAAAATGATCATTTTAATGTCATATTATACATTCTCGAGTGAAAACTATATATACACATATATTTCCTAGAAATTATGAGTGAAAATAAAGAGGAATGGATAACAATATGTGAAACACACTATATCTGCTATATCCAGTGTCGACGAAGTCTTTCGCCAGTACCAGGGCTCGTTAGGTCTGCTGGAATACGATAGACACGCTATTTATATAATTATCAAATTGCATGAACAACCACTGTTATGGTGTGAATTAGTTTTTATAAGAGTCGTTTTCAAAATCAGAATTAGGGTAATGATTGATAACACAATATTATTTAATTATACAACTATCTCGAAATTAATCAAGACTCACCGTGTTTCTCATTAGTAGTATTCACTCCTGTTGTAACTTCAAGTATCATATTTAATTCAACATTGAGCTTGATGTCAATAATAAACATGAAAGATGACAATAGAAAACAAAACAAAAATTATATACTGATGATTTTATTTACATTCGTGTTGTGAAAGATAAAACCTAGTGTTACTTCTCAAACATGAAAATATCAAATTTAAATTACTTAATATATTACCATTATAATATACTAATGTTCGCTAAGAGATATTGCCACCAAATCTTTAATTCTTCAGTTTTTATTATTTGCAGAATTCCCCAAATCATAGTCGGTTTGCAGTTTCTTGAGCTCGTGATTTTGCGTCATCATATTTAAAATGTTTTCCATTTGTTGTTGTCACCATGCAGGTTTTGAAATTCTGCACTTTTCAGTGTCTTCGTGGTTTGAGCCTTAAAATCTTGTAACATCTCTACTTTATAATGGTACTGTAGTCTATAGCCTTTTGCACTAAAATGATCAAATATGTTACGAGTTAGATTTACCTCTACAGCAGCTATCAACCATTGTGGCTGACTGACTATCTTGGAATCCACTTCACTTTAAATGCATTAAAATTTTAATAGATAAGACCATAACTTAGCAGATAAATAATTTTCTCTTTTCAACTATTATACAGCAAACACCTTAGTTTTACAGTCTCGTTTTTTAAGGAGGCAACTTCTATTCTAAGTTTCAAATTTTCCTGTTCTAGGTAAGCGGCCCTGATGCCAATTTCGTATTCTTTTGCTCTTCTAGCATTTCGTGACCTCTTCGCAGCTTCATTGTTTTTTCGTCTTCTCTCCCAGTAGGCATCGTCCTTCTGTTCTTCTGTTAAAGACCGGCTTCTTTTTCGGAAGTTGGACTGGCCGAGTGGCTCTGTCGGTGTTGATGCGCCAGAATCACTTGAAACTGTATAATTGATTGCTGTAGTTTTACTGTTATCCAAACTTCCGTCTAAGCTAACGTCAGATGTTGAGTTCGTACCAGTAGCTGTAGCAATAGTCGTAGTTCCTGTAGTTATCGAGGACGCGACCATTGAATAAGTGCTTGTGTCAGTTCTAGCAACTTCCGAAGAATCGGTGTTTGTGTTTACAGCCTCGGAATTTGAAAGTTCCGAAGCTACGACTGTAGCAGAACACTCACTTTGTGAGCTAGATTTTACTTCAAAATTGTCGCTCTGTCCTGTATTCTGTGGCGGTGAACTGGACCTTTGACAATCCTGCATATTATATATTTTTAACATCTGCTGTCTGAATTGAAGATAGGCTTGTTCGGAGGCGCCTGAAAGAAATGGTTTATGGGCCACAGCGTCAGCAGTTAGTGGGGAGTGGAAAGGATAATTGTAATATCCCTGAATAGACGACACACTCAGAGGATTTGGGGGATAAGCCCTGGATTGTCTGGAGAATTTCTTGTGTTTTTTGTATTCCACAGTAGAGTTGGGTAAGACCAAAGGGGTAGCCGTATTTATGTCTGATAAGGATATTTCAGAAGATAACAAATTGTTCAGAGAAGCAGACTGATCTTTCATTGCTGGTAAGTGTTCCATAAGCTTCCGTTCTTCGTTGGATTGGAAATGTGAAGATGGGTTCATCTTGTGGTTACGCTCTAGATTGGCAGCTGAAGGAGCAAATGACTCGGCACCTTTTAGTTGTTCAGCTGTTCTGTTTTGTCCGGTTTGAATCGGGGTGTCGCTGAAACTGCGGCCTTGAGCCTCAAATATAGAAGACAACTTATTACGAGTTCTAACGTTCTTTGTGGAAAAATCCAACGGCTGATCAGGGTCCATAGCACGCTGAAGACTGCTTGTTGGTTGGTTAGAAATCAGGAATTCTTTGGGGAATCCACATTCCGAAGGCACCAACGGCAGGTAAGGCGGGACGTGGTCTGTGCTTGTCATGAGTACTGCGCGAGAGTTGATTACAACGGGCGAAAGAACGGTGTTATAAAACTGGAAAACACAAGAAGTAGGCATTTGTTATGTTTTATGTATTAAGTATTCCGGTTAACAGAATCTTTTAAACAAACTCTAGAGTTTATGAACCAGGAAAAATATACATGTAGCAAAATCGCTACAGGCGGCAATATAATGTCAGTATTCCACTGTCTGTGCTACAAATATCGACCATAACGTCATATAAATTTTCCACGCCTAAAATAAGTGCACTCAACTTCATAGCTTCACATTCGTTTTACTATAGATCTAACAGTAATACCACTTCTCCATTAAGCCCCTCCCAGCTCTTAACACGCAGGTGACGTCTGAATCAACCGTTACTGAGTGTGATTTGTTATTGTGAGGTATCTAAAAAAAAAACACGTTTAATGCAAGAAGAATGCGCCGAGACTGAGAGCGTTTTGATATAATTAATTTTTATTACTCTCCTATACTTCAAAGATATGAAAATGTTACTTCTCAAATGTAAGGATTTCCCGATATAAATCACGTAAAACCTCGTAGAGGGCGTTGTTAGGAAAGCATGGGGTGAGAAAAGTGTTGGTCACTAAGTATTTCTTCAGCAAGTTTGGGCAAAAATTCGATTGAGCTAGAAGATTACGTGTACACATTCGGATACCCAATCGATGAAAATTTCGGATACTAAAGATACGGCCAATGGTACAATATTCATCTTGTATTTAGTTTTTGGATGAGCATCCTTTGTATTGTTAACTAACGTTAAATGTCTAAGCCACTAAACACATGTGTGTACATTTGGAATTAAATGAAAAACCTTTAAATGTAGGCCTATTACGAAAATAAAATAATTTTAGCCACATACACACATCTAAGACATTTTAATAGGTTTGAGGGTTACAGAATTGTTCAATAAAGTTGAAAATGTTTAGGTTTCTAACGTTATAGTTTTGATGGAAGAGTTGGCTAACGGGCATTACAGTTAATGTTGTAACATAAACATACCAGTTAAGAATTTGTTTTTAATTCACAAACTTAGTTTCCTTTATTTTATAATACATGTTTTAATTTTCTATTCAAACGAAAGAATGGCAAGCGAATTAGAAAGCTATTGCCAAATAATAAAACCAGGCTAGTCCATCAATACATTTGCTCTTATCTTAGCATACGCTAATGTAGTTGGAGCCTGGGACACTGTCATTGAGATGTGATACTACAATGTAATTCGAATCTGGACAGCATGATTAATATATAATGCTACAATGTAGTTTGAATCTGGAACAGTATCATTGAGATCTGATGCTACGATGTAGTTTGAATCTGGGACGGTATCATTGAGATGTTATTCTATAATGTAGTTCGAGCCTGGGACGCTATCATTGAGATGTGATCCTATAATATAGTTCGAAATCTGTACAGTATCATTAAGATATGATGCTACAGCGTAGTTCGAGTCTGGGACGCTATCATTGAGATGTGATCCTATAATGTAGTTCGAATCTGGACAGTATCATTAAGATATGATGCTACAGTGTAGTTTGAATCTGGGACATTATCATTGAGATGTGATCCTATAATGTACCTCGAATCTGGGACAGTATCATTGAGATGTGATACTAAAATGTAATACGAATCTGGACAGTATTATTAATATATAATGCTACAATGTAGTTCGAATTTGGGACAGTATCATTGAGATGTGATGCTACGATGTAGTTTGAATCTGGGACGATATCATTGAGATGTGATGCTACAATATAATTCGAATCTGGGACACTATCATTGAGATGTGATGCTACAATGTTGTTCGAGTCTGGGACACTATCATTAAGATGTGATCCTACAATGTAGTTTGAATCTGGGACACTATCGTTGAGATAAATATATAACGAGTTAATCATTACATTAATTGTCAAATAAACGGTCTTATTCTGAGTTTGAACTGCATAGATATTACAGTTTTCACAGTAATTAAACACTGGTAACAAATTGAACTGAATGAAGTATTACCATACCGAGTCAAACCTAGTTAAAATGATTAAGCTAAATCATAAAACTTAATGCAATAACCTATGCCACCGTAGACTAAATAACTCAACTTCTATGAGTTTATTAAAATATGGTAACATAACACAGTAGGTTATTTCTGAAAGAATTACTCAAGTGAAAAGCAGTCTAATCTTACCGTTTCAAGAATATATTTTATTCCAATGGCCCGAGAATTTGAGGACAGCTTAATATTACCAATGATCCTGAATCCGTCACTTCCAACGCAATAGTCGCAATGCTATAGTTGGTCAAATTGTCCCCTGGTCTATCTTTTTCTTCTGAATTGAAAACATTCACGTAATTAGTTGTCGCCAACCAATCATATTGTACCCTTGGTCACTTGGTTCGGTTCTCTGTCATCGTCACACTCTCACGAGAATATGTGGAAGAAGGGTTACATAGGGTCATTTCAGCCGTGCCTGTCCATTTCCTCAAGCTGAACGTATGGTATTTCTCTTTAAGACCAATATTTTTCCCCACCCCTCTTCCTGTCTGCAAACCAAGAAAGTAAAAATATTGCCAAAACAGTGTTTATGGTTTCAATAATTAAAAAAGAAGAAAATCTTGCTCTATACAGTCTAAGAAAGTGCATAATATATAAAATCTAAACAACTAAATTTAGAGTACTAAACTACTTGTTTGAAAATAAACCAAGGGACACTTAATCACAGTGAATGTAGGTTACCCGTGGCTTACTTTTTTCTCCTTTTCTGGGAAGTCTGATTTTCGATAAATAATATCAACGCCTGAACTTCAGTATAAGCAGTATTTAACTCTCATATTACCGACTTTTTTTTATATACTGTTCAGTACCGATGGGATTCACGTATTGCATCGTATTGAGTAATTTTATGTTTATGCCTGTTACAACACTGCGTATATAGAACTGATCAAACAAATTGGGTGAAATCACTTATTCTATGTAAAAATACATAATAGGGTTAATTATTTGCATTATTGTCAATATTTTTATTAGGAACCTTATAAACAATAACATCCTGAACTCACAAACAATTTGGCGCATACTTAGTTTAAAAAATGTTAAAAATCCGATGGGTCCGTACGGACCCAAATATTAATCCTAGGTTTAATACTCTTATATAAATTGGGGCTCATTTTCGCTGTTTCCCGTTATTTTCTTTGAAGTATGAGATTAAACTTTTGAATAATTGTTAACACTAATGAAATTTTGATCAGATTCGAAAGGTGTGGTCAACTGTGTTTTATTTTAAAAATTTAGGAATACACAATCAGAGAAGAAAAAAAAATTCTTGAGGAATATATATATATCCCGAATGTTTTGACAAATGTGTAATAATCATAGTTTATAAGAAGATTCAAGATTATTGTCTGACGAAAGCACTTTTTTATCAATTTTTTATTATTATATATATATATATATTTGTCTGATCGTACACTGTACTGATGTAATGATTTTGGAGAAAAAAATAACCAAAAGAAATGGTAAAGTATATTTAACATTGCTTAAGTTGAAGAGTATATATAGTTCCACCCGTGGTTACGTATAACAAAACACTTCAATATTAAACTCTTCAGGGTTTTCTCTCCTTTATTACTTTCTTCGACCAAGATAAACAGAAGTGTCTATTGTTCTAGTGATTTGTTTATATATATATATATAGAGAGAGAGAGAGTGATAATTTCGATCATTGAAATTGTCAAAGTACTTGTTGTTTGTTATTAAGCACAAAGCTACACAAAGGGCTAGCTGTGATCTACACACCACGGGTATCGAAACCCGGTTTCTGGCAGTATAAGTCCGTAGACATACCACTGTGCCACTGGGGGGGGGGGGTCAAAGTACTTAGTATGAACATTGATCTTGTTTGATTTCTGGTTTGTAAGCCCACACCATTATTTGAATATTCACCTATTAACAGTAAGTCCGAAATAAGAGGAATTTTGTTAATCATTTCTTTCGTATATGTATAAACTTATTTTTAGGGTGATACTAGGAATTTGTCACAAGTTAAACACATAGATTATTATAATAGAAAGCTGTATCGTTGATATGTTCTTACAATCATTAAGCCTTATGACTTGATAGAATTGTGGTTATGGAAACCACTGGTGTTTTCAAGTATGTTTATTAGAATTGACTAAAATCTAATTAAGTACATATGAAATTATGCAGATCGTGGTTTGATAATACTTTCTTTATATAAAACTCTCGTTTTAACTACATTACAAAAATATAGGTTGGGTATAATAAGGATAAATTACGATATAAAAAGTCCATTTAAAAAAATCAGTTTATTTGCGATAGAGTGCGCTTTTAGCGGTATATGTTTATTTTAGTGCAGAAACTCAATGTCCACCGTGGGTAATCGAACTCTGGATTTTGACGTTGTAAGTCCGTCAACTTTTCAGAGGCTCATTGGGGGACCAGTAGTATATGATTTTAGTTTGTGTTCGTGAATAGTTATGAATAAAGAAGCACAGTTATATATAATAATGTTTCTTTCCAGCAATAAGAATAGCTGGAAGATCCCCCCCCTCCCCTTAATAAATGACGTTACGCCACATAACTAGCCATGCTTAGTGGTTGTTGTCAATCTTTATCACATTACTGCTTTCACCACCTAACATATAAGGTGGTCTATTTTTAGAAACACTTTGGTTTTCTCACCGCTCAAGTTCAAGGTGAAGGATATCGAAACTCGAATTCGAGTTCCAAATAGACAGATAAACAAGTCGTGAATGGTATACCGTGGGAACTAAACAGTTCTATATTTAGAATATTGTGAAAGTGGAGAAATAAGAAGTGTGACGTCATTAATATTAGGCATTACAACTGCACTTTGGCTGTTGTACAATATCTGAATTGAGTTTTTTTTACATCGTTATATATAAAACGTCTGTCTTTGTACTTGTTTAAATAAAGGTTTAAAAATGAGATTGCCTGCAGTCACAAGATACGTTAAAATATTCACTCAGTAATTCACTATATAAAGATAAAAATCTTGAGACTGTGCCATTGTATATCATTACATATTGGTTTCTTTTAACAATTATATTATTTAAATATTCATCCTTCTTAATTCACCTGTGAAGAAAGATGATCTAGCCTCCGAAAGTGCTCGGGTCATCATCTCTATTATTTCATATCCCTTGAAAAAAAGAAAGTAATCTTTTGAAAGTGTACGAGTTTTTGTTGTTTTTTTATGATTTATCTCCTATCTTTTCTTAATATCGTAAGTGTATCTCTACAGTTTCAGATCACCAGAGCTACTTCTAAAGCTGACAACAATATGGTGAAGTAGTAACATAACATACAACTCACGTTTCTAAGTGACTGATTTTTGTATGGACACTAATAACAATTAGATAAAAAGTCATGCAAATTGTTATAGTGAAATTATTAAAATATTTGTTTATTTGTACTGTTGTTAAGCGCAAAGCTATCAATGGGCTAGCTGTGCTTTGCCCACCACAGGCATCGAAATCCGGTTTCTAACTTCAGACTTCCAGCTGAGCCACTGGGGGGAGGGGGGGAGGTATTGAAGGAAGTAAAGCAAAATAAGTAAATAAAACTTGGATAATCAGACAAATTTTATTTTCTTCCAGGTCGAAAAATGTGACACTGACCGTTTCAAAGATATGGTGATTTAAGATGTTGACCTTTACTTCTTTCGCCTCATTATTATGCAATACCATTAAGATAATCGTACACTGAACTCAGAAATGACCACTAGGGTTAACAGGAACTAATAAGATACAAAAGGTGAATGACCCAACACCCAGCTGTGGTAATAATACATATACACGGGTTATTTGTTTCGACTTTGCCTAAGATTACAACGCACAGAATACAATAAAACCAGGATAGTACTGAGTCAGACCTGAAGTTAGTCACGTATGAAGGAAATATGTAAAACGTGACGGTTTATACCATGCACGTCGAATGTTAATTTTGTGTAACAAGTAATTGTTGTATAGTTGTAAACAGAGAAATTAATATTCGATTGTAGAATTCCACATCTCATGTTAAATTAAACAATGTAAGTATTAAAACTGTAAATGACTTAAGCTTGGCTATCTAAACCTGATCAAAACGCTATATATATATGGGAAATTCGAAGGATTGTGGCTGGTATGTTTGATAGTCTCGTTCGTTTCTTGTTTCAATATCGCTGTTTGGAACAGACCTCATTTTATTTCATTATAACGCGGTATCTCATTAACAGAAAAGGTTCACTTTTCGTTCTAGAAACATTCATTAACCAATTTTACCTATGCAGGTAGAGGATATAATATTTTAAACGAAAACTATATATGTGTAGGATTTTAAACAATATGTAAGAAAATTGTATTTTCCAAAATAAATCGACACCTGTGTTCTTTGACGCCATTTTATTGCTTCATCACAACCTCTGAAATAAAATCATCTGTCGTTATAAAACATTAAATCACATAATTTGAACGTTATTGTAGCCATGGGCGTCCTCGGGGGAAGGGGGCAGGAGGGGGCACTTGTCCTCCCCTCTCTGGAAAATGAGAAACATAATTCTTTTTTTTTTTTCATTCGACATATATATATGAATTTTTTATTAGATTCACAATTTCACACTACTTTGCCCCTCCCTGAATAAAATCACTGCGGACTCCCATGGATTTTATAGTCGAATATATTTATGTGTGTGTGTATTCCTGTGATATAATTTCATAATATTGTATTTCCTTACAGCAGCGATTCTCAATCAGAGGTTCTCGGACCGAGGGTGGTGTTCGGGCTTTCTTCGAGTGGTCCATGGAAAGTTTGTATAATTACGGAAATGATGAGATAGCACTGTATAGATCCCATTGTGGTGGTTCAACGAGATTAAAAAATTAAGTGGTCCAAAAAAATAACGCAGTTATAAATCAAAATGGGAACTGTGTACAAGAAGTCAGTAAAATCAACATACCTCGTGGTCCACAAAAAGTGCTTGAACCTAATTTTTAACTCTTATATATATATTTTATAGAAATGATTTAGCACTTTTTAGGCCTCATCCTTAACTGATTTTAAGCTGTCTTTTAAACAAAAACAAACACGCCAACAAGGTCCAGTGAGAAGCCATTAACATAAGTTTTCCCAGTCATTTGAATAACTGAAGATTAAGGTGCTTCATAATTCCAATCCTTCCAACACAAATTATTTCAGTTCTTGTATCAATAAATAGCAAGTTTTTCTTCTCTACAAGCAGGAAATAAATTGTCAAAATTGTATTGACCGAGTCTCAGAAATACATCTTTCCGCGCAGAAGCTACTAGGATCCTTTCAACTATATTTTCGAAGTTGTTATTGTTTTTACAAAATGTTCCCAGTTTGAGTATCACCAAGTCTAAAATACTAACAATTCCTCTAAAACACCTGTGTTTCAACATTTATATCACAGTGTACAACCAGAGGCGTCGCTGGCACACGGTGCCCGTGCCCCGATTCTAGTTGACAGTATCCCGAAT